CATCGAATTTAAACGTATATGTTTTGTCGAAACTTCTTCGTAAACACTTTGTCATGACTTCATCGTATATGTTTTGTCAAAACTTCATCGAAACTAAACGTAAATGTTTTGTCAAAACTTCATCGTATATGTTTTGTTATGATTTCTTCGTAAACACTTTGTCAAAACTTCTTCGTAAACACTTTGTCAAGACTTCTTTGTTTATTTTTTCTCAAAACTTCATCGAATTTAAACGTATATGTTTTGTCGAAACTTCTTCGTAAACACTTTGTCATGACTTCATCGTATATGTTTTGTCAAAACTTCATCGTAAACTAAACGTAAATGTTTTGTCATGATTTCTTCGTAAATGTTTTGTCGAAACTTCTTCGTAAATGTTTTGTCAAAACTTCTTCGTAAACACTTTGTCATGATTTCATCGTAAATGCTTCGTAAATGCTTCGTAAATGTTGCTGAATTCAGCATAAAAATATTTTTAGGTGAAGAGGTGAGATCTCACCTGTTTTTTCACCTCTGTTTTCACCCTGTTGAATTTACACCAAAAATATATTTTCTTTGAAAAGGTTAGATCTAACCTCATTTCATTCTATACACAATCTACATCATAGACGATTTAATAGATATAATACTTTACTGTTTCATCTGATATAAACATTATTTGGTGAAAGTATCCTAAAAATATTTGATGGACTTTAACTAAAATAATTTTTATCGTAGATGGTTAGATCTAACCTTTTCAAAGAAAATATATTTTTGGTGTAAATTCAACAGGGTGAAAAAAGAGGTGAAAAAACAGGTGAGATCTCACCTCTTCACCTAAAAATATTTTTATGCTGAATTCAGCAACATTTACGAAGCATTTACGAAGCATTTACGATGAAATCATGACAAAGTGTTTACGAAGAAGTTTTGACAAAACATTTACGAAGAAGTTTTGACAAAACATTTACGTTTAGTTTACGATGAAGTTTTGACAAAGTGTTTACGAAAAAGTTTCGACAAAGTATTTACGAAGAAATCATGACAAAACATATACGATGAAATCATGACAAAGCCTATACGATGAAATCATGACAAAACATTTACGAAGAAGTCATGACAAAACATATACGATGAAGTCATGACAAAGTGTTTACGAAGAAGTTTCGACAAAACATATACGTTTAAGTTCGATGAAGTCATGACAAAACATATACGATGAAGTCATGACAAAGTGTTTACGAAGAAGTTTTGACAAAACATATACGAAGAAATCATGACAAAGTGTTTACGAAGAAGTTTTGACAAAACATATACGTTTAAGTTCGATGAAGTTTTGACAAAACATATACGATGAAGTTTTGACAAAACATATACGATGAAGTTTTGAGAAAGTGTTTACGAAGAAGTTTTGACAAAGTGTTTACGAAGAAGTTTTGACAAAGTGTTTACGAAGAAGTTTCGACAAAGTGTTTACGAAGAAGTTTTGACAAAGTGTTTACGAAGAAGTTTCGACAAAACATTTACGTTTAAGTTCGATGAAGTCATAACAAAACATTTACGATGAAATCATGACAAAACATTTACGAAGAAGTCATGACAAAACATATACGATGAAGTTTTGACAAAGTGTTTACGAAGAAGTTTCGACAAAGCATTTACGTTTAAGTTCGATGAAGTTTTGACAAAACATATACGAAGAAGTCATGACAAATTGTTTACGAAGAAGTCTTGACAAAGTGTTTACGATGAAGTTTTGACAAAACATATACGAAGAAATCATAACAAAACATATACGATGAAATCATGACAAAACATATACGTTTAAATTCGATGAAGTTTTGACAAAGTGTTTACGAAGAAGTTTTGACAAAGTGTTTACGAAGAAGTTTTGACAAAGTGTTTACGAAGAAGTTTTGACAAAGTGTTTACGAAGAAGTTTCGACAAAACATATACGATGAAATCATGACAAAACATATACGTTTAAGTTCGATGAAGTTTTGACAAAACATATACGTTTAAGTTCGATGAAGTTTTGACAAAACATTTACGATGAAGTCATGACAAAACATTTACGTTTAGTTTACGATGAAGTTTTGACAAAGTGTTTACGAAGAAGTTTCGACAAAGTGTTTACGAAGAAGTTTCGACAAAGTGTTTACGAAGAAGTTTTGACAAAGTGTTTACGAAGAAGTTTCGACAAAACATTTACGTTTAAGTTCGATGAAGTCATAACAAAGCCTATACGATGAAATCATGACAAAGTCATAACAAAACATATACGATGAAGTCATGACAAAACATTTACGTTTAGTTTACGATGAAGTCATGACAAAGTGTTTACGAAGAAGTTTCGACAAAACATTTACGAAGAAGTCATGACAAAGTGTTTACGAAGAAGTTTTGACAAAGTGTTTACGAAGAAGTTTCGACAAAACATTTACGTTTAAGTTCGATGAAGTCATAACAAAGCCTATACGATGAAATCATGACAAAGTCATAACAAAACATATACGATGAAGTCATGACAAAACATTTACGTTTAGTTTACGAAGAAGTTTCGACAAAGCATATACGAAGAAGTCATGACAAAACATTTACGAAGAAGTCATGACAAAACATATACGATGAAGTTTTGACAAAACATATACGATGAAGTTTTGACAAAGTGTTTACGATGAAGTTTTGACAAAGTGTTTACGATGAAGTTTTGACAAAGTGTTTACGATGAAGTTTTGACAAAGTGTTTATGATGAAGTTTTGACAAAGTGTTTACGATGAAATCATAACAAAACATATACGAAGAAGTTTCGACAAAGCATTTACGATGAAGTTTTGACAAAGTGTTTACGATGAAGTTTTGACAAAGTGTTTACGATGAAGTCATGACAAAACATTTACGTTTAGTTTACGAAGAAGTTTCGACAAAACATATACGAAGAAGTTTCGACAACTTCAAAGAGGAAGAATAAAAAAATCTAAGCTAATTTTATTTTTTTTTATAAAATTTTATCTCATATGAAAGAACATGAATTTAGAATATTCGGAACTCATGACAGAAGAAGAGAACGAAGAACATGTAAAAGATTATGCAAAATTTCTGAAGGTATATAAAGCTTATGAAAAAGCGTATGAAAAGTTTATACATTGGGGAATTGTTGTAAAATATCCATATGAAGACTAACCAAAAATATATTTTTGAATAACTGATGGTGTTACCATGTTACCATGTGCTACCAGGTTATTTAACTTCTTTTAAAAATGATGACAACATGACATTTTGACAACAAGTACGAAAGGAGGAAGGCATTTATGAATTATTTTTGAATAACTGATGGTGTTACCATGTTACCATGTGCTACCAGGTTATTTAACTTCTTTTAAAAATGATGACAACATGACATTTTGACAACAAGTACGAAAGGAGGAAGGCATTTATGAATTATTTTTGAATAACTGATGGTGTTACCATGTTACCATGTGCTACCAGGTTATTTAACTTCTTTTAAAAATGATGACAACATGACATTTTGACAACACAGCAGGATTAATGCAAAAATAAATTCCAATCATACTTTATAAAGCTTCATTTACAGGTATTTCATCGTCAGTAAATGAATCCTCATTATCGTTTGGTTCAACCTGTTTATATAATCCTTTCATTTCTTCTTTCAAAACATAACACCATGTTTGTTTACCGTCTATTCTTCTATGTTTCCTATCACATTTATCCTTAATACTCATTTGGAAATTCTTGTCTTTCATGTCTGATGGTTTGCAGAATAGAGCATTTTTACACGTCATACCTGCACACAATTCATCATAATGTGTATTTATCCATACATCTAAAGGATTTGTTGATAATTCAATTAAATCTTGTTTGGCTTCAGTCATCGGAATGATTCGTACATTAAATGATGAAAGGTCATATTGCATAAAATATGTTAAAAGGTTATCATAAAATTCCTTTGTGCATGAATCCATTAAATTCTTGAAGTAATCAAATTGACCCTTAAATTTACCATTAACTCTTAAAACCACGTATCTTCTGTCTCCAACTTCAATTTTGACAGGGTAAACGTTATTAGTTACGAAAATGAAGTTTGCAACGTTCTGAGCAGTTCTTCTGGGTTGATTCTTTTCATTAATTCTAATCTCATTATCCGTTATAATTGATTTCAAAGCGTTGAAGTTTGCGAGTCTATCTTCACCTACATTCTTGAGTTCATTAAGTACAAGAAACATTTTATTCTCAACTACTGAATTGAAATTACCCGTTAGCTCACCTATTTCGGTAATGTTTTTGCATGAATAACCGGCGAGAAGTTCAGAAATAATGTCTGTAAATCTGTTTTTACCTGTTCCCTGAAGTCCTTTCAAAATAATTGCTGTTTCATTCTTGATTCCAGGATGTTGAATCATTGATGCAATCCAGCCGAGTAGGTATTTATACACTTCATCGTTATTATCACAAATGGCTTCTTTAATGAAATTCATAAACATCTCAATTTTTGAGTAATCAGGCTTTTCGAGAATGTTGTATTTATAACCTTGAAACGTTGAGAAAACATCCGGGGAATCAGATTTAAAGCAAACACCCTTAACGGTTAATGGGGATAATTGATTTAGTAGTACATCCCATGCTGTTATTGTTTTACCTTCTTCTTTAAATAATTTAATCATTTTGAGTGACTCTTTCATGTTTGATTGAAGAACGAATGATATTTGATTCATTTTGTCGTGGATATTATAGTCCTTTTGAATGAAATATTTATTTCCACAATCTACAAAACGGATTACACGTGATAAATCCTCAATTACTTCAGAACTGTTTTTATACCGATGATTTTCAGCCTTGCGTCTAATATCTGTTATCAAAAACGAGTCATCAAGTTTTATATCAAATGTTATTTTTGGCTTACGTAATAAAGGTAAAACGTATTCATCATAATATTCCTTTTGATATAGTTTTAGAATCTTCACCAAAACAAATGGAGAAGTCATTAAATGTGCATATCTACTACGTGCTTTTTCAAAATTACTTTTTGCATTTTCTGTTAAACTGCAGAAGTTATAAACGTTATCGTATGCTTCATTAATCAAATGATTAGGTAACGAATTAATTGCTTGAAACAGTGTGAATAATGTTATTTCTTTTTCTAAATTCATGTTTCCACCGTCATTATGTACTTCAAAATCACTGATGCCATCAACTATGCTCTGGGCAAGTTTATCGTCAATGTTTACATCTTTGTTTTCATTCATGATAGTCTTTATTTCTTCATTCTTTTGTTCAACTCTTACCTTAATATTCAAATCATTTAATATATCATTCACTGTTCTAGTTAATGTTGAATCGTAACTTCCACGAATGAATGAGTATGTATTGATTGGTTCTGTTGCATTCTTGCGAACTCTTGAATCAGCCATAACTACTAAAGAACGCTTTGAATCATCCATTGAAGTCATTATATCAATATCATAATCATTGCAGGAATAGCATTTAATCATTCTGTTCGAAACTGCATAGAAGAAATTAGTGTTGCAATAAATGTGAAGACCTCCTGAAGCGGTTTTAACGATAACATCTTTATCCGAAAGTTTTGATAGAATGTCTTTTCTAACTGTTTCTTTAAGTTCATCATTGTACGATTTATTGATATCAACATCTATAATAGTTAAATTTGGAATTTTATTTACTAATAAAGCCACACCAGTTTTCCTTCCTCTTCCTCCATCGTGTTTGAGGTAGTTATGTAAATCAATCTTATTTTCACCAATTCTTTCGTTGAGGGTTTTAGTTTCTGCCACAACTAATTCCTCAGCTAATGAATCAATAACTTTTTCATCAGAAATGATATAGTTGCTGTTGTTGTTTGTTGCTGTCATTTAGATAGGAATAAAAAAATAAAAATAATTTTAAAACTAACTTTATTTTTGGACTGCATCAAATTTCCTGGACTGTTGTCTAAATGTCATGTTGTCATCATTTTTAAGAGAAGTTAATTAACCTGGTAGCACATGGTAACATGGTAACAGTGAAAACATTAACGTAAACATAAACGTAAACATTAATGTAAACATAAACGTAAACATTAACGTAAACATAAACGTAAACATTAATGAAAACATTAACGTAAACATAAACGTAAACATAAACGTAAACATTAATGAAAACATTAACGTAAACATAAACGTAAACATAAACGTAAACATTAATGAAAACATTAACGTAAACATAAACGATAAAATTTATTTCCTGGACTGTTGTCAAAATGTCATGTTGTCATCATTTTTAAGAGAAGTTAATTAACCTGGTAGCACATGGTAACATGGTAACAGTGAAAACATTAACGTTTAAGTTCGACAAAACATTTACGATGAAATCATGACAAAACATATACGATGAAATCATGACAAAACATATACGTTTAGTTTCGATGAAGTTAGTGTCTATGTTATACAGTAATGTTAGTCATGAATGTTTGTCCTAAGTGTTGGCGTTAGTGTTGAAAAATAATGTTTGTCCTACATGAAGCCGTACAAGCGTTTGAATTTGTTTATGAATAAAATTACACTCTTGTTTTCTGTATCTATCATACAAACATAAGCAGCACCTGTTTTTGTAAAGTTTATATGAAGTTTTCGATAGTTAAGACCTGTATAATAATAGAATGCGTCTTCATTCTCAACATAGTAGTAGAACTCAAACGAATGCTTACCATAATCTGTTATTTCAACAGCTTCGTCAGATATTTCATCAACGAACTCATAAACTATATCGCCATACTTGCTTTTATTTCTATTGTTTTCAGATCTAGAACACCAACGAAGGTTTTTACATTCATACTATGAAGGATGGTAGAGTTCAGTTTAGAAAGATAAAGCAACCATTAGATAAAGAAGGAATTTTGAGAAAGATTAAACTTCATGAGGACAACATTGCTGAACTTAAGAAGAAGCTAGAAGAGTTGGAGAAAGGAAGAGAGTTATAAAGCAATGAATTCACCAGGGTGAAAAAGAGGTGAAAAAAGAGGTGAGTTTTCATCACTTCACCTAAATTTATTTTTGTGCTATGTTTTCATACGTGTGAGGGTGGTGATATCATTAATTTTTAAGTTTATTTTTTATTTTATTTTTATTTTATTTTTATTTGGATGTAAATGACAGAACAAAAGCAACTCATACAAATCGAAAAATATAACAAACATACATTTAAACATTTATTCTTCCTTCCTGAGCATAACATGTTCTTTCAAATACATCCGAGACCAGTTGACTTTTCATTGACTGTGTATAAAGATAGAAATAGTTATATCATTAAACCATACGATGACGAAGGTAAGTTATGTAAATTGTACGTTAAGAAGTTAGAGAAAGTTTATGGCTTCAAGTATGACTACAATAGGGTTAACACTGATGATGAAGATATTGAGGAAAATTTATGAGAACATTAGTGAAGTCGTTAGTGAGAACGATAGTGAGAACGTTTATTTTTACATTAATGAGTTCGTTAGTGAAGTGAAGTGGTTGGCGGCTTTGTAAATATTTAAGGTTAAGTTAGTGTTTATGTTTGTGTTGTAAAATATACGTTAGTGGTTTTGTAAAGTGTCAAATTCACATATAATGGGTAAGTAGGTGCGCAGTGCCACCATACCTAACTAACCCATACTAACTCCAATTAGATAAATATAACGCCATCAAAAATAACCAGAAGATCGAGCGCCATATAAAAACCGTTATCACTGATAGCTACAAAAATTATATTCTTGACTGCTTTCAAAAAGAACTTGAGAAAACAATTTTTTCTATCAAACAATACAACGTAAGTGATCTTTCTTTGGCTAAGAACGAGATTTCTCCATATGGTTCCATAAAATCGAGTTCATTGTTCGAAAATATTCCAGTTCATGATGCAGATATACTCAAATCGATCGATCTAACAGATAAAGATACAATGATCACTAAGTTTATTAATGAAAAAAGAGAAAAAATTATGGCATTATTTAATGAAACATTAAATCATCCAGATTTTAATTTATCCACTCCAATTCAAACTAATTTTGAGCATGCCGATACAAATCAAGGTTCAGATGCTCCAATTCGCTCCGAAAATTCAAATATTGCAGACTCTACAGATTTAGAACCAGAAAATCAAAACCATCCTTCTACAAATCAAATGTCTAGTAATCTAGAACATAAGCTGGATCTTCTTGATCATATTGAAAAACAATTATCGAAAATGCGCTCGTTATTGGGAATTCTTCCTACTACAAATGCTATTGTTGGGCCGTCAAAACAAGTTTCAGTTAATAGCAAGCAAAATTCTGAAAAAAATAAGAAAAAATCTTCCATAACAACAAAATCAAACAATAAAAAACAAAATTCATCCGACAATCCTCCTAAACGTAAAGCTCCTATTTCGGAAAGGATTCTCAGCGATAATAACTTATATTTTCAAGTTCATCGAAAGAGATCGAAAAGCAAACGTTCCACATCTACAGAGAAAAAGTATTGATATATGAAGTCTAATTCCTTTTATAACTACTATATTTTTATTCTTATCAATTTATTAAGATCGTTTCATATTTCGCTTATGAAATATATATCTAAATAATCTACTAATATGAAATTTTGTGTCAATGCAAAAGTATGTTAGTTTCACAAAAAAGAGATTGAATAAGAATTTGAGTATTGGATGTTTTTGTCGAAATGGATGTTTTTCGCAATATATTCTACGCCTTTCCCTCAATGCATAGATATCATTGTCAAATGATTGAATACAAATGTTAGGAGGATCCACGTATTTTATCCCTTGTTCACAACATTTAAAGAATTCTTTTACAGGATTAATTTCATCCAATTGTGCATAATCGTATTTGTAACAGTCCTTTGAATCTGGATTATGGAAACAAAATTCAATTGTATTTTCGATTTGTGATGCTTTTGATAATTCTTCGAAAAAGGAAATGACCTTCTCTGGTGTTTTCATTTCTGGTTTCTTCAGGAATGCCAAGATTAGTTTTTCACAAACAATGCCCAAAATGCAGAGATTCTCCTCTGTATAAGTATCCCTATTAAAATCGTAATAAAAAAGAAAACTTCTAATAGCACGTTTTGCAACGTTATCAAAATCTTCGTCATTCAACTGAATTCCCCTAGTAAATGGAATAAAATCATTAAGAAAACGCATCCAAAGCCTTTTGTATTCCCAATCTTGAGGAATATCTAATTTACGTAGATAGTCAATGACATCTGCTGGAATGTTGAGTTTGAATGTTATAATAGGGTAATCGTATCCTTGAGGAACATAATCAATTGTGTAAGCTTTCGAAAATTTAACTTCTCGATCGAATTTCATGTTAAACCACCATATGTTGTAATGCAATATGATTGATTTTAACAGCTCGTGAAGGTAATCGTTTATTCGGCTGAACGACAGAAATGTGAATAAGTCTTTCATTTATAATGACAAAAATTATGAAAATTTTGATGATAAATTTAAATTTATAAATTTTTATTATAACACATTCTTAAATTTATCTACAGGCAAAAAAAGATTGACAGAAAATTTGAATTGAAAAAGTTGTAATTTGACAAACATTTTTTTAATCGGTTATGAGTGTAAAACCCCTCAGTTATTGAGTGCTTTGACAGATGTCGATGCTATTAGATGTTAAATCAAAATTCATCGATTTGAATTTGTAATGTCCTCCCTTTGTTGCTAAAAAAATCGCCTCAAAAAATGGCAAATCTGGTTGTTTTGGGTATTTTATTTTATTTATCATTTCTATCAAGGGAAAATTGACTACTTTGAAAGACCAAGAATGTACGCATATTTAGTGTCAGAAAGTTTACAAATGTTTACTTTCTTACAAACAAAGTCTCAGAAATTAATTTCCTTTCTCAATAATTACAAGCACAGTCTGGAAATAAGAGTGACCAACTATTGAACCTTTGCCTATATTAAATTTCTACATGAAAATCGTGTTTCTCTTTGGGTAAATTGGTGTAAGATTTTCCATAATTTAACCGCGATATCTCCTTCTTAACTTCACGGATTAATTATCTCAAATTTCTTAAAATTATTGATTAGGGGTGAAAAAGATTTTCTTTAAACAAATAAAGTAAGACAATTCATGGTAAAAACAAAATATTGAAAAGCATAGATGATGAAGTTGTTGTTGACTATATTGGAAGGTTTGCAAACAACTCCATTTCTTTCGAGGGTGAATGGATCTGATGGTTGGATTCGAATGTATCCATTTCCGGAGTGACCGGTGACGATCTTATTTTGTGGTGATTTGAAAGTTTTGTCACCACCAAGCAAAACAACATTATACAGATCGGGTGATGCATAACTACTTCCACCACCACCACCTGCTAAATCTGCGCCACCACCACCGCCGAAATAACCACTTCCCCCTCCACCAGCCGCTGCATCTGCACTGCAAGCAACATTACCACCTTTTAGATATTTTCCCATGGATGCATTTACTGCAAGATAGCCGACTGTACCTACGTAAACTCCACCATCTCCTGGACGCGATGATGTTGCTCCTTTGCCTCGAACTTTTTTAGCATCTTCTGGATCTACATGTAAGGAATCGCCCAGCGCATCACCTGCGTATGGGCCTCCAACTCCGCCAAAGAACTCACTCGTATAGTAGCCTGAGCCACCTCCTGCACCGGATATCAAGAGAATTTGTTTTCCATATGGATCACTCGAAATAAATATAGCAGATCCTCCTGTGCAGGACTGTCTATTCTTGCAGGCTTTATTTTTGCCACCTTCATATTGTTCAGTGGTAAAATTTTCGTTTCCACACTTTCCTTTGGCACCAACATAAGCATAAAGCGTAGTTTGTGTATCAAGTTTCAGAATTGCTTCTGAGTATGCACCATGGCCAGCTACAGAGTTGAAGGAACCACCTTGGGCACCCCAAATCATCAAGAGCCATGTTCCTTTTGGAAGTATTACCTCTGTAATTTTATTTACAGTTGTAAAATTTATTGAAGACAATTTATTTTAGCGTTGGGAGTTCAATATATTTTGAATATTGATCTTAAATTGAAACCGACGTTGTTTAAATCTAATGATGCGGCATTTTTTGAACATGTTTTTACAATTATATTGTTGCATAAAAATTGAACTGGATTTAGGGAATACAATTGGAATTTGATTAGAATAAATGAAATAAAGGGAGTTAACTGTAATAAGCATGAAATATCTAGTATTTTAGAGCTATCTCATCAAAATTTGAGCTCACTCCTGGGATACAAAATATTCAATTGTTTTATGTCAAATAACCTTATTATAAAAACCTTATTACGACGAAAAACCTTAAATTAACTTTAATTTTGTCAGAATGTATTCAATACAAAGTTCGAAAACTTGAAGAAAATATATTACTTTTTTATAAAATTATACAAATAAAGCAAGACAATTGATGTTAAAAATAAAATATCGAAAAGCATAGATGATAAAATTATTATTTACTTGGTTTGAGCAATTGCAAACAACTCCATTTCTTTCGAGGGTGAATGGATCTGATGGTTGGATTCGAATGTATCCATTTCCGGAGTGACCGGTGACGATCTTATTTTGTGGTGATTTGAAAGTTTTGTCACCACCAAGCAAAACAACATTATACAGATCGGGTGATGCATAACTACTTCCACCACCACCACCTGCTAAATCTGCGCCACCACCACCGCCGAAATAACCACTTCCCCCTCTAGGGTTGTTAAAAATATCAAAAATTAGCGTTTTGAAGACACCATGGTGTCTTATAATTTTCCCTTCCTTATTGGCGTGTAGAAATAAATGCGCCAATAGATTGAAGAAGAAGAATTGTTTTTCTCTTAATGAACCTTAATCCTTTTGATATAAGAATATTAAAAACATTAATATAATTTCGATTTCGGAAATTAAATTTCCAAATTTTTTGTCGATTTCGGAAATAACAGGATCCCGCATCCAACACGCAACAACAAAACACAAAACACACTTTTTGGTTCTTTCATCGTTTTAATCGTAATTTATGTAATACATGATTTGGATAAATTTTACAAAAATAGAACCTATATTATATTCTTTTCAAAGATTCTTGCAAATCATCAAAAATAATTGTATTTTAAAAAACGATCAAATTATCCTTTCATGATTTTAAACTTAAATTAGTTTTTATGATTGACTAAAGCAATCATATTTATTCATCATTAAATAAACAAAAAAATAATATTTGAGAGTTATTTCAAAAAAAACACATTGAATTTATTAATTTGTCTCAATTTCAGTATTATAAATTTTTATAATTTCAATATTTTGAAATACACTTTTTAATATTTCAATATTTATGATATTTCAATGTATTAAGTGGTCTCAAATTGAGCTTCTCAAATATAAGTTGGCCTATTCAAATAATAAAATTAAATAATATTTAAAATAATAAATAAAAGTGATTAAGGTCATAGCAAAACGGCTGTTTCAGTCATTAATTCTTAAAAATAAAAAGGGTAAAAACTAAATACAATGGGTAAAATTCAATAGTGTCTGTGCTATCGTTCAATTTGAAGGTGTCTTTTGAAACCGCAAGACACATTGAATTTTTGAATAGTGTATTATGGTTTGACAGACACCAATGAAAAAAATAAAATGATATTTATTTTAAATATATAAGATCCTTATATAAAATATAAATATTTTATCGTTTTATTTTCTTGTTTTAGAAATGTTTTTTATTGAAAAATCAATAAAACTAACTCCAAAATAAAATTTTTGATTTAAAGACACTATGATGACACCAGGCAAATCTTCCAAGACACCTATCGTCGGGAATCTAACAACCCTATCCCCCTCCTCCAGCTGATCCCTCTGCGCTGCAAGCAGCATCACCACCTTTCAAATATTTTCGCTTTGTTCCGTTTATTGCATCCCAGCCAGTGGCCCCAACATAAACTCCACCATCTCCTGGACGAGATGATGTTGCTCCTTTGCCTCGAACCTTTTTGGCATTTTCTGAGTCCAAATTTGTCGCATCTCCGAGAGCATCGCCAGCGAATGGGCCTCCAACGTCTCCAAAGAACTCGTTTTTATAATACCCAGAGCCACCTCCTGCACCAGAGACAAGGAGGATGTGTTTTCCATATGGATCAGTCGATATGAATGTCGCAGCTCCTCCAGTGCAGGAACTTTTTAAGCAAATCTTGTTTTTGCCACCTTCAAACTGTCCGGTGGTAAATTCTGAATTTCCGCACATCCCTTTAGCTCCAACATATGCGTAAAGTGTTTTTATTTTATCAAGAATCAGAATTGCTTCTGAGTAAGCACCATGACCACCTGATGGATCGAAGGATCCACCTTGGGCTCCCCATATCATAATTAAGTTAGTATACAAGTCTTGGGTACGGCGGCACTGCGTTCCACCTTACCCAATACTTGTGAATTTGACACTTTACAAAGCCGCCAACCACTTCACCTCACTAACGACTTCGCTAACAACTTCACTAATGAAAAAATAAACGTTCACACTAACGTTCCCACTAATGTTCTCATTTACAAAAGTATTGCAGCGCTTCCCATTGCTGTGCTTCACACAATAGTTCATATTCTTCAGTATCGCTGCTGTCACTCCAATCGTCAGAGTCAAAATCACTGTCAAAATAAATGTATGTAAGTTTTGACAAAGCTAATGAAACACGCTTACCGTTTGTATCTATTGCTTTTATATATCTCCCATTATGTTTGTTGTCGTAAACGCTCAAACTAACTTTACCCTTTCTCCCTCGTATCTGATAGAATGTATTTTCACGAGGAACGAAGAACAAATTCTTGAACTCATGACCGTTGTAGTTTGTTATCTCAATAGTTTTCGTCATTTATATAAAAATAAAATAAAAAATAAACTTAAAAATAAATGATATCACCACCCTCACACGTATGAAAACATAGCACAAAAATAATGTTTATGTTAGAATGTTAGATCTAACACGTTTTCTAACCTCATTTCTAACCCTGTTGAATTCATTGCTTTATAACTCTCTTCCTTGGTTTCTTTTTAGTTGCTTTCTTCACGTCTGTCTCCAACTTGACTGTCTTTCTTCTTCGGCCGTAATGATACCAGTTACTTCCACCAGTCAATGGGTCAAATGGTCTTTCGTAAGGGTTTCCATACATTCCATAGGGACCATACGGAAGAACTACTAGTGGAGAAGAAACATTTTCTTTAGTTCCATCGACTCTATTTAAATGCATTGTTTCACCTTTCATCTGGTCATTAAAGTCTTTTGCGTGTTTTGCAAACTCATCGTCCTTTCCTAAAGCATTTTCTGACTCAGTCGCAACCAAATTGGATACTTTATTTATGAGCCCTATTTTATTTAATCTTAACTTCTTTGCAACCCAGCCTCCAATCTTCCCTTTATTTGCATCTAATGTCTTCGAAACCCTTCCTCCACTCATTTTATTTACTGCGTCATAAGCTCCAAGTGCTTTTGCTCCAAATGCTAATGCTTTTGTTCCCATTGCGCCTAAAGCTGCCCAAGCTACCATTTACCCCATATTAAAATCATCTCTCTTCAATATTATCTCATAAAAGTTCTCGTTACTGGAGAAAGTCAATGAAACATAAGCGTTCTCACGGGCTTCGCCTTCACCGCTTTGCGGTCTATCTAACTTCTTTCTTATCTCATCTATACGCTTCAAAATGTCTGAACAATTGCTAACATCTTCTACAACAGTTATTTCATCATGAATGACCTTCAAGAACAAGCTCATTTAATATGCTATTAAAATCATCTCAATAATGAGTCCATCCTTTCCATCTTTAGGTAGCACAACATCTTTCATTGAAGAAGGTTCGACAAGTCTTATGTTAAACTTACTGACAAAGTTTGTTATACTATAATGCTTCGGTGGTGAATACATGTAGTTTGAAAGACATAATATAGATTCTTCAGCAAATTCACTTATACTGGATTTTATAACAATGTTCTCACGAGACCAAATGCCACCAATTGACAATCTTGTAAGCAATCCTGCTGAACCTTCAACTGTAAACGTCGATGGTAACATTCCACGAAGGTCATCTATTGACATCTTTGAGTCACTGAATTTAAAGATTTTCTTAAAGCAATCGTCATTATCTAACCATGCAATAGCTTTGAAGTTTTCATTCGAATATACATCTGCTTCATTAAATGTAAAACCTGACTTCTTTGCAGAGATGACTTTAAAATCTATTGCATTTGTTTCAAAATTATATGCTATGGTAACTTCTGAAGGTAATGGATGCCCTTCCGCAGTCAGTTGTTCTCTCACTACCGTTTGAAGCTTTGTATTAAAAACTTTCATGTCATCTCCTGTATCTAAGTTCACATACACAGCAACAGGGAAACTATCTTGCTTCTTTGTTTCATCATTATATCTCAAAACATTAAAGTTCTTCAATAATATTGTTCTTCTGCTGGAATACTTCGAACCTGTCTGATTTCAATAGCTTTCTCACCTCCTACATACTCTACCCAGTGTCTTGGATATTCATAAGTATACTGACTTTCTTGAATTTTGGTTGGTTTCATCATAACATGTTCATAGTATATCTTTATACTCTTGTCAGTTAGACTCGGTGCTATGTTCTGAATATTTCTGACTTGCATTTTTAATGGAGATAAAATGAAGCATTTAATACATGACGTAGATGAAGACATGAATGAAACCACAGATAAACTTAACTCTTCTCTCATTCTTCCTTTCAGTAAGGACTATGAGTTCTGTTCAAATGGTGTTTATTTCTATTGTGGAAAGATGGGTTCAGGTAAGACATTTAACCTCATTCGTCATATACTCATAACAGAACGTTTAGGAAACGACTCTTACTATGACCAAATCATTATATCAGCAACTTCAGACTCTATGGACTCAACAGCGAAAACATTTATGTCAAAAGTTCAAGCCTCTGTCGTTAAAGTTCCAGACAGTGAACTCATTGAATTTCTTCAACGTTACATTCGACGTAAGAGGAAATATTATGTCATCGTAGAGTTCATACAGTCAGGAATGCAAAAGACTTCAGAAGAGATGGAAAGAATTATTGACAAACACCACTTACGACAATACTCAGGAGTTTACGATATGAAACGACTTACAAACTACATTCTGTCAAAACTTTCAAAATACCCCTTCAAAAAGTATCCTTCAAACACTCTGCTCGTTTGTGACGACTTCGCCGGAAAAGGTTTAGTGTCAAAACCAGACTCACCATTAGCTAACATCATTACTAAAGTCAGACATTACCATTTAACTGTAGCAATACTTATGCAAACATGGAGGTTTTTAGCTTTAAACATAAAACGTCTCATAACTGACTTCGTTATCTTTCAAGGTTTCTCACGTTATGATATTGAACTCATTTGGAAACAGTCAGGTATAACATTACCTTTTGAAGAAATTTGGGAAGCATATAAGTCTCTCATCTCTCCTCGTTCATACCTTGAGATTCATATCATGACTAATACCATTAAAGTCAAAAATATTCCATGGGAACGACCAACATTGTTTTAAAGTTTAACCTTCAATTGACTGATGGTAAACAAATTCCATGCATCTCTGTCGCCATTTCTGTTAATATTTTTGCTGTCATTCATATCATCACTTCCCCATCCGTTAGCTTTTGAGGATATGCGTTAGAATAGCTGTTCTTAAATGAAGGCTTTTCACCTTTGAGAGATAAACTCTATAACTTTCTGCATACTTTATGTTTGAACCTCCTGAGCCATCATTGACATAAATTTTTATAGGCTTCCACCCTTTGTTCATATTCCTGCTTCTTCCCTTTGCTCTTTTGTTCAGTAGTTCTACATCTTTATACACAGCACCTGTCTCAGTGAATTCAACAATATTTTCATTCGTTAGCTTTACATTCAAACCCTTGTCGAGTATATTGTTCATTTCATACATATAAAGGTTTTTATTCTATATGAAATGAGAAGCAAATCCATCTTAGCTGGTGCCGTTAATGTTCCAATTGAACCAACATCAAATGTTGACTCACGAACGACAAACAATATTGTCATAAAGAACTATAGTTCAGAGTGTTTGAAAGAGCCAGAACCAGAGCTGAAATCCGTGATTTAAACACAGCTTCAAACGCTAACGCTACATCAGATGTTAAGTTAGAGTATCCACCACTGGACCAAATTCTTTCAAGAGAAGCCAACGACAACCCTTACATAAATGTTCAAACAAATCCTTCAGATAACGTAGACCATTACCTTCTTCAGTTATACCAAACAATTTTTACTCAAAGACGATAAGAAGCTTTGATAAATCTTATAAGTAAGAACCAAATAATTCTAAAAAGGAGGACCTTGAAAATGTTATATCACGAATAACAGGAAAGCAATGTGTCATTGACTATCTCGACCCTGAAATCGAATGCTGTGGTCAACACCAATATATCATGAAAATAGGTAACATCCGCATCATTGAAACACCAGGAACTACAGGAGTTGAGTTTAAGTATAAATATTCGAACGAGTATACAAAACTATCTACTGACTATAAACTTTGTTTGAAATATGTTTTAGTAAATTAAAGCAACTTATAGTATCTATCCAAAACTTCTTCAACAGTATCGAATTCATCTTCATAATGCAAACCTAATCTTATTGACTTGGTGCAGTTTTCACTAACACAATATTTTTCTGTTCTCTTGACTGACATAACTAACTCATTTGTTTCATCAAACAGCAACAACCAAAGTTCATGACCTAATACATAACATTCATACTTTATATTTTTAGCTCTGAGTTCTCTTGTAAGCTGTTGCATTTAATATTTTCTAAAAAGTCAACTTCAACAGTCATTCGCACTGGTGCCTTCAGTTCTACAGGCTCTCCTTGAATGTCAACAAGTCTGAATTGCATGTCTTTCAAATTATGAGGACTAATGCGAACCCATTTACCTAAATGAGTTGCTATGACAGGAACGTTTGGAATGAACATTGAATTGACTGCATAACAGAAGGATTTATATTCTACTGAACCTTTACTATTAACTCCTGAAATACCTGTGACATTAGCTATTTTTGACTCAATGTACAAACAATTACCATAACATACGTATGGAACAGATTTCATCTCAATCGTTTTGTCAACACTTTTCAAAGGAAATGTCATATGGTATGCTCCCAAAAGAAGTTGTACTCTATGACTCATTCTTGGTATCTTAAACTCCTTCGCATAACTGAACTTCAAAACTCCTGCAATAAGTTTAACATTCATTAAGTTTTCTTCGTTATCCTTGTTTATTGTAGTATTTATGAGAGCATTTAACACTCCAGCTAATGTTTCCATCTTATATTCTACATTATTGTGAAATCTTATTTCATGCTTCTTTCCATCTATTTCAAGCTCCATGAAATCTGTTTCGTCAGTTATAACGAATGAAGCGATAGTATTGAAGTCAACCATTCTGAATGCAAGCGCCTCATTCTGTAGACCTAAGTTTGTTTGTAGCTTTACTGTCCCGTATTCGTTTGGGTCTGTACTTTGCAAATAGAACAACATTTTATTCTCATTAAAATATGAGTATAGCTGCATATGCGTATGAAGCTGACAGAGCTAAACGTTTATATTTTGGTCAATACTCTCTCACACTTACTGACAAATATATTGGTATCAGTGATGGAAATACCGAGAAATACATAACATGGAAGGACTATGAAAAGTTTGACCCCATTTTTAACTCCATGCACTATGCCATTCATTGTAAATGGTGAAGTTGTCATGAAGAACGACACAACAGTATATAAGTCTGTTCATGAAGCGTTAGAATATATGTTGAATTATAATCCCGAAAGATTTGATCCAAGCACTACACCATGTGCAATGCCTTTTATTAAGGACGGTGAAATCGTAAGAGTTCCGGATTCAACGGTTTACACAGCTGTTCAAAACAGTTTACAAACATTTTAGCGAATATCTTTAATTCAGAAACTACAGAAATAAAATTACCATATATAACAGATGCTAAAGAAATTAAATCAAAAACGACAACATTATTTACGTCACTTAATGATTTAATGACTTATATCATTAATATTCCTGCACCAACTACAGCATTTGATCCAAACTCGACGGTTTGTAGTGTACCTTTCATTAATGACAGTTCATTAATTGCTTTAAGGGATTCAACAGTTAACGAATCATTAAAGGCTTCATTAATGAAAATCATTGATTTTAACTCATTCATGAATACATATAATTCATTCATTAATGTTTCATATGCTTCTAAAGAAGGTGAGCCAAAAACTATCAATAAAGCGGTGTATGAAATAAAAGCATCAACGACGAAATTGAATTCGTTAACTTTTGACGGTGATAGTTTCGTTAATGACATAACATCGGGGAAAACAATTTTAACGAAAGAATACTTAAAATCTCATGTTAGTGAGTTCGTTGAAATTGAAAAAGAAGGTGGAATTAAGTTCGATCCACTGAATTTCATTTTCAGCTTAGCGAATGCGGGTATTAATTTTGCTGAATGGACAACTATACAGAGTGAAATAAATGCAATATGGACGTTTTTGGGGTCAAAAGCGGGAATGGGTGAGCTTGTAAATGCTGCAAGAACATTAGGTGAAACAGGAAATTTTGTAGATGGTTTTAAAAGACTTGTTTCAAATGTTTTAACAAACACAAAGAAATTATTTAGATATACCATACATAACGGTCAGATTTTCGAACAGGTAGCAACAAACCCTCCGGTTATGGCTGCGTTGATGATGGTTAGAGATATAAAACCACGTAACGACGGGAACGAAGAACATGAACAACAGGATACTGGTCGGGTTATTCGAGACATTAAAAACGTGTATCCTGAAGTTATTGATTTATTTAGAGGAGTTAATGATTCAATTTCAAAACATTCTATAACCCTCGATGAAGAGAATAAATTAACAGATTATATATTCGTCATTATTGCAGAGTTAATGAAGAGAATAAATGAAAAAGGAATTGGTGATATCATTAATGTCAGCGATGTAATGATGAAAAGAAATTTTGACTCATTATTTACAAAACCGAAAACAGAATATAGTCTTTATGACGTAATTACCGAATTAATGAAAAAGATTAATGATAATAAGAGTTCTGGCGGAAGAGTTGAATTAGAAGTGAATGATGTTAATGAGAAATTAGCCGAAAAAGCAAACAAAAATGAGCTTTTAGCTCTGAGTGATAAAGTCAAGAACCACGTTCATTATATAACATCAGACGAACAGATTATAACGAACTACCATGGATATTTAACACGAAGTGATGAAGTGAAGACGGAAGGTGTTAATGAAAGAAGATATAAATACATTCGTGCTAAAGGTTATGACATAAGCTGTACTGTACATTATGACACAGGTAAAGCACAAGAAACATTTAGTTATAACGATGAAATTTATGCCTCTACTTTCTCTGTTAAAGGTGTATTAGTTGAACCAAGATTTACTTTGAGAGTTAAGTCAAAAATAACGTTTGAAGATGCTATTAAAAGTAAAGCTGACAAAGTTGAACTCGAAGCAATGAACAAAGTTTTGAAATCTCATAAACACAACATCTCCGATATAAATGAACTTCAAGCTACATTAGACAGTAAAGCTGACAAGAACCATACACATGAATCCTTCACTACTGTTAGAGCAGACGACATAATATTGAACTATACCCTTGGTTCAAGTGCACCATTAGAGAATCCAAGTACAAGCGTAAAAGATACACTAAACTCCTTAAATAGTAAATGTATGAACATTGAAGGTCATGTCAGAAACTTTGAAACACATGAACTACCAGCAATGTTAGACAGTAAAGCAGATAAAGAACATACACATAACTCCTTCTCAACTGTTAGAGCAGACGACATAATATTGAACTATGATTTGGGTTCAAGTGCACCTTTAGAGAATCCGAGTACAAGCGTAAATAGCTTCAGGGTCAATTTCTTCAACCATTTCACTTCCTTCGTCAATGTCAATAGAAGCTTCTTCAACCTTTGGTAAGAATTTCTGTATAACATCTTTGTTCGTTATTGTCTTCAGAGATGAAGGATAATATTTCACAGATGTTTCATTTCTTTATATTTCTTTCTGTTTGGAAAGATTTAAAGCAATACTGAAGAAGTCAATGTTAGAGTTCTTTATGACAGTATAATGAGTATCTTTGACATTCACGAAGAAACTCTTTTGTTTCAAAACTACTGCTAACTCTTGTGAAGTATAACGTTTGCGGTCAATGACGATAGCTAATGGTCTGACATACTGACCAAACTTAGATTCTTTCACAAACTTTTTGTTAAAGATAACATTAACATTTGAAGCATTATTGAACTCATTCTTGATGGCAGTAGCGAGAGCATTGTATGAAAAGAACTTGCAATCTTGCATGTGTTTCATTAAAATAAAAATATTAAATTATTTTGAAAAATAACTTAAAAAAAATCTAATCTAATTTTTTCAAAAAAATATTTTTTTATTTCCTACTAAAGATGTATCGGAAGTTGTCTAAGTTAGAACACTCGGAAATAAAACAACTTCTTACAGAAGCTAACATAGATGTTGCAAAACATTACGCGACAAACAAAAAAGCACTCGCCGACTTCATTAAAGACTATAATGGTGCAATAAGTTATGATAGAATTCATGAGTTCATAAAGCCGCAACGCGGCGAGGACGAAGTCCATGCAAGAGCATTTCCTTTAAATGACGTTGCTATTGACTTATATCATAGACGTTCAATACCTCATGAAGTAAGGCGTGAGATGTTTGACATAACAAATGCGAACGTTGGTGAAACACGAAAGAGAGACGACACACTGAAACAACAGAGAAGAGAGATGTTTAAAAGTGCTATAGAACAAGTTCGCAAAGCTAATAATGTCATTCGTTCCATTGACGACAAACCAAAAGAAGGTGAGAGATGGTTAAAGAAAGATGAAGAGAATAGGAAGAGAAATGTGAAGTCAGGCAATAGACTCATTGACTTTAACATCGAAGCTTTAGATGAACCAAACAGAGACTACTTACACAAACATTTCGGTAAGGTTTTCATGAGACTCTTAGAGAAGATTAAAATAAACTCCCAACAAAGATGGATGGTATGTTATAAACTTGGTGGAAAGTATGAATGTTCTACGTTAAACCTCAATAATATTGGAACATTACTACATCAGCTCTTGAAGGAGAACTTTATATCAGAGATAGAAGCAAATGCCGCAGGTATTGTTGAAATGCACTATGACTTCTTCTTGACAAACATAAAGAATCTTACTGAAATAAAGATGTATGATTTAACAGAATATGAAGGCTTAACGATGTCAGATGTTAAGAAAGGAAAGCCACAGAAGCGACCATATAGAGATGAAAGCACACTGACAGAAAGACAGAAAAGATTATTGAACAGACTTAAACAAACAGGAGATAAACAAGATATAGATGACTTCTGGAATGAAATCCTTGGTGAAAAGAAGTTTTATAAGAAGAGAAGCGGTCAGTTCTGGAAGTATCTTTGCACATTACCTATAAATCTTGAACGCTACCAAATCTTCAATGAATTGAACAAAAGAACTGCAGCACTTATGACAGAAGACAACTGCTTCGTTTATGCTTGCATTCAGGCTGGAGTAAATGAAGAAACTATTGACCACATGAGAGAAGTCATTCGTGTTAGAGACTTTCCTCAAAGTAAAGTACAAGAAATTTCCGATTCAACAGGTATAGCATTCAATGTTACCATTGGTTATTTCAATGACTCAAGACATAATGAAATAAAGAGATACATACCAAAAGAATGTAAAACTGTTCGAACTATTGACCTACTTCTTGTTGAAGACCACTACATGCTAAATGAAAGACTTCCAATGACAACATATTTCATTCACAACTATATAGAAATCTTGAAGGAGTGTGGTGGAATGAACATTGAGAAACAGATGAAAATATATACAAAGAGAGATGGTAAATACATTGTTCGCATGGATAGAACAACACCGTTATGGATTATGAAAACATTGTGGGAGTGCAAATATTTCGAACCTATTTCTTATGGAGAACTTTTCACATATACGACTGACTTATATAAACAGAACCTTGCACCATTTAAAGATTTGACATATGCTCCAAAGTATTGTGTACAACTGAAGAAGAAAGCAGAGTCAAAAGAAGTAAATAAAGCTAAATGTAAGTTCATTCCTGAGCACGTTTTCTTTGCTGACTTTGAGTGTAGTACGGATGGCTTTCATAAAGCTTTTAACATCTGTTTTGACAGTGAAGATGGTTCAGTGAGTGAAAGCATTTGGGGTCAAAACTGTGCAACAGAATTTTTGGAACGACTTCCTGACAAGAGTTTAATATATTTCCATAACCTCAGTTATGATATAAACTTCATCTTAAGACACATGACAGAAGTGAAAGGAACTCCCATCATTAAAGGTTCACGAACAATGCAAATAACTGGCTTATATAAAGGAAGGGCAATTATTATAAAAGACTCTTACAGTGTTATAAATAAGAAGCTTAAACTATTTCCTGCTATGTTTAACTTACAAACAGGACCGAAAGAAGTATTTCCATATAACTACTACAGCAGTGTTTTGTTAGCAAATGACAACAGAACTGGTGTCATTTCTGAAGCATGTAAGTTTGTAAAAGATATTGAAACGTTCATGAAAAACATAGATTCCATCAAAGGTTGCAGAATAGATGAAAACCACTTCGACTTAGAAAAATATAGCACATTTTATTGCAAACAAGATGTAAGAATTTTAAGAGAAGGTTTTGTTAAGTTCCGCAATGACATATTGAAAGAATTTGATTTAAACGTTTATGACTACGTTAGTATTTGTTCAATTGCTAACAAATTATTTGAGAACAGAGTGTACTTCCCGAATGGAAATTTATATGACCTCTCAAATAAACCAAGAGAATTTATTTCGAGATGCATTCAAGGTGGAAGATGTATGTTGTCAGATAACATTAAACAAAAGAGCAAAAAGAAACTCATTGCTGACTTCGACGCTGTTTCATTATATCCATCCGCTATAGCAAGACTTTATACTTTAGAAGGAATTCCAAAAGTATTGAAGGATGAGATGTTAAGCACAGAGTATCTCATGAGACATTTATTCGATGACGACCAAAAGGAACCCATTGGTGAAAAGTTTATGTCTGGCTTCTTTGTTCTCATTAAGATAACAAAGATTGGAATACATAGACACTTTCCTTTAATAGTTTGTGACCCTGAACTAAATCCAGAACTTAACGTTCCCAGAAGTTCAAACACTTGCTGTCTCATGTATGTTGACCATATAACATTACAAGACCTCATAAAATATCAAGGTGTCAAATGTGAAGTGTTGCAAGGATACTATTACGATGGAAACAGAGATATTAGAATAAGAGATGAAGTAAAGAAGTTGTTTGAGTTAAGGTTAAAGTATAAGAAAGAAGGAAATCCTTTACAAGAAAATATAAAGCTCATTCTGAACAGTATTTATGGCAAAACTATTCTATCTCCTATTGAGTCAAAAATAACCATAGTAAATGACAAAGATGCTATAAGATATGCCATCAGAAATTACAACCATATAGTGAAGTTCGAAGGTTTGGATGGTTCAGATAAAACTATTTTCAAGCTAACGAAAAGCATTTGCAGACACTTTAACTTCTGTCCACTTGGTGTTAACATCTTATCTATGTCGAAGAGAATAATGTGTGAAGTATTCTGTACTGCTGAGGACATGGGTCTTCAAATATTTTACCAGGACTGTGATAGCATGCATATTTTCAATGAAGACATCCCAAAGCTTGCAGCAGAGTTTAAGAAGAGATACGGTCGCGAACTTATAGGAAAGAACCTTGGTCAATTTCATTCTGACTTCGCAGAAATAACACCTGGAAAACAAAGTTTAGCATACAAGTCAATATTTTGTGGAAAGAAGACTTACATAGACTTACTCACGAATGATTTAAATGAAGTTGCATTCCATGCACGTTGCAAAGGTGTCAAACAAGACGTCCTTGCTTTAACAGCAAATGAAATGTTTCCTGAAGCTATACAATGCTATTACAATGAAGATAAGAACATTCACATACCTGTTGGAACATATGACAAAGACTCTGAGTTCAGTTTAATGAAACTTTACAAAGCACTTTATGACGGTCAAGAGATTGGATTTGACTTATGTAAGTCTTCTAGTCCTTGCTTTGCTGAAAAGTTTAACTTCTCAATAACGACTAAAACAAGCTTTATTCGTAAGTTGAAGTTCTGAGGTCATTTATTTTTGTCAGCAATGAGGTCATTCGTGATAAAAATAATGAGGTCATATATTTTTGTCATTTATGTATAACCATTGCCTCTCTTAAACTTTGCAATAGACAGCTTTGTTCTTCTTCCTTCTACATCTGTAATGTTATATAATCTTTGTTATACTGTCTTAAGACATTCATTCGTCTGTATTGAGTTCCCATGAAATAGTAAAAGGCATCTTCACTTGGGACATAGTAGTAGTTCTCTAACGTGTGATATGAGTATTGTATAATTTCAACAGCGTCTTCAGGAAGAGAGTCAACAATGTCAAACCAATAGCCATTTGAACCAAAATATTTCTCATGTTTTCTCTTCTTGTCGTCCATCTTAAGTTCGAGATATGAAAGTCTCCTCTGTCTCTGTTTATATGGTCTACTTCACGAAGTCCTTCAGGGTTCGGAATGAAAGTTTCTGCAACTATTCTATGTTTCATCAGCTTGTGTTTGTTTAAATTTACACAAATATAACCATCTCCTTGGTCAAACTCACTAACAACTCTTTTATTGCTTATACGTCTAATTGGATAAGGGTACTCTGAAAAGATTTCATAGTCATTGTCATGCTCGAGTGTTTGCCAATGTCCTTCACCTTCCATGCCTTTCACTCAAATAAAATTTTCAGAAAAAAATAAAACTAGCGTAGATTTTACAATACAGCTATTGTAGAGTTTAAGAGTTGTGCTTCAATGTAGAGACAGTCCTTATGGTCTGGAGGTAAGAACACTGGGCAGTTATGGTCATGAGTGAGAACATGTCTATCCAAAACTCACGATTGAAGCCAGTTAATTTATAGTATTTAGGGTTAGGAAGTGGTGAAGTTCTTGTATGACCAATGAACTCATTTTCAACTCCCTTACTTAAGTTTGAATATAATATAGCTTGCTTTCTATCCAAATGCCAGGTGTTACAATCTTTGAAAATTCATTTTTCCTCGGAAGCATTGCATTATAATTGAAAACATTCTTGAAGTCTTCATTGGGTTCAGAGATTTGAAACCTTAATACGTAATGGATTTTCTTTCTCTTTAGCTACTTCATTGAATGGTGAATATATAACAAACTGACAGTCATGAGTTCCATCTTCATTTTCATTAAATTCATAATGAAAGTCTATAAGTTGTGGCTGACTACCTTCTTCTTTCAGTTGTGCAAGAAACTCACGTAAAGGCTGTAAAGTTTGTACTTCAATGTTGAACTTTTTCTCGAACATCTCATTAAATGAAATCATACATTTTGCAATGTTGTATCTTCTTTAAAGTATTTGTATATGTGAATGTTTTGGGCGCTTAAAGACTGTTCGTCATTTTCTATCTCGACTTGAAGTATAAATTCAACCTTTCTGAAAGCACGTGTTATATACATAGATGTTATGCCAATGTACTTCTCTTCATTTATGTTCACAATCCAGTCTGTTGGAAACTTAAACGTTACTCTGTTCCCCTTTATTTGACGTCAGGGTTTTCACTACTGAACGCAACAGATAAAGGTATTTGTCTATACATTTAGTTTCCGATAAAAATAAACCATTTACTCTTTCTTTGCTTCAGCTTCTTTAGCTTTTTGTTCTTCTTTGCTTTTCTTCTCTAGCTTTCTTCGCCAGCAAACGTGGGTTCTTTTGTCTTCCAGCAGCTAATGCAGCAAGTTGTTTTTCACTAAGTTTTCTCTTTGGTCTCTCTGGCTTTTGTTCTTGTTTTGTTCCTTCAGTTCGGATAAAATTTGCTCGCGAATTTCTTTCTTCAATGCTTCACATCTATGACCCCTTGGGTCTTGTCCAGGGCTTGTCTGAGTCATTTGACTGCAGATAAAAAACAAAATTAAAACTTTAACCGATGTAAAATGAGCTTGTCAAAATCAGAGCGAGAGTCTATTATATTAAATGACGCAAGAGGAATACAACATCCTTTCTATTACGTAAGTCAGAGTAAAGATGGTAAAATATACGTAAGAAAAAGAAAGGTTCCATTAGCGAATGCAGAAAGCGACAACATTAAGGTGCATGGCAAGGGTGAAGTCCACGAAGCCCATATAAAACCTTCTGTTCAAACTGAGTCAATAGAACCAGAAGAAAAGAAGCCAGATGTACTTTCAATAACGAACCAAGAGCTTATTGCAAAGTTCGTGAATTTCATTGAAAAACAAACCGAGTCAAAGAACCCTGACCCACCAGTGAAAGAAGTTGAGACAAAAGAGAATGTACAGTTCATTGAAAATGTCAAGAAACAACTTCCACCACGAATGCCAAGAAGAAGAGTGAGAATAATGAAGTAAATAGATATTTTTATCGAAGTAAATACATGCAGAACGAACAGTTAAACGAATTTACTCCAGCAGAGCATATTCATCAGATTCGCTCATATTTCGATATCATAGACAATGCAGTTCAAATTGGTGACACTAATAGAAAATATTCTGACGCAAAGATTCCATCACAACCTGGAACTGCTAAAGATAACACATGGGTAACATTCAATCTCTCACCTCCTGGTGAAAATATGTTGGACCTTTACAATACATTCATTACGTATAAAATGGAAGGTCAATTTATTGTAGATAAAGAAATTGGTTCAGGTTCCAATAAAACAAACCCACCAGGATTTTGGATTGGTTTCGATGACGCTTTCTATGCAGTTGCTGGATATCAAATCCTTGCAAATGGTCGTATCGTATATTCTCAAGACAACGCAAGAGAAGAAGCATATATAACTTCAAACTCACAAACTACCGAACAAATAAAGAAAGTAGATGTTTTCTCAAAGACTCGACATGAAGATGTATGGAGTCATTCGGGAACATGCAGAACAGGACAAATTGTTAGTGGTCCAATTACAGCAGGAAAATCATTTGATTTTAAGCTTCGTTTAAGAATTCCTGTTAGAAGATTCCTTCCATTAGAAGCTATTCGATTTATTCCAGCTTTTGCAGGAAACATTCAGCTTAAAGTAAAGTTCAGTAGCGACGCCTTACAATGCACATCTATATCTGTAAATGATATCATTGCTTTCAATCCAACTCTTAAAGTTGCATTTGCTTCAGATTCAAATCCACCGACAAATAAATTTGTTCCATGGAATGAACCATTCACTATGATAACGAAGGCAGTAGAAGCTAGTGGAACAGTTACTATTACAACTGTAACCCAGCAACTATTTCGAACAAAGATGGATTTTAATGAATGTTTCATTCATCCAAAGTCATTCTCTTTAGACCCTAACATTTATACAGAACTTGTAGAACATTATACAAACGAGGCTTTATGTTTTCCTGTTAAAGTTATGGATTGGATTCCTATGGACGGTTCATTCTCAAAGAATACAGATAGTTCAAGTGCAACATTTACAGCAGCTTATACGCCTATTAATGTTAAAAGTATTTGGGCACTATTTAGAAAGAAAGACAACTATTATGTTAATTTTGAGAACCCTAAGTTTAAATATCTTCAGCTTTCCATGGGAGCTTATGGAAATATGCCTGCAGAACCTGAAAAATCATATGGACCTGTATTTTATGAAATGGTTGCGAACGCTTGCAATACAAACAATGATATGATAGGATTTAATGAAGATGTTATGAGGTCATTGGTGGATGATGGTAGTGTGGAACATAAATGGGATAGCTATGACAACACACATTTCTTATGTGGTTTTCCAACAGAAGTGGACTTTTGCTTCCAGCAAGGTCAAACATCTACTGCTCCAATAACATACAAATTGTCTGTTAAAGGACCTATTGAACTAGCAACTGAAAATGTACCAAAGCCACTTATTGGATTTATGAGGGATTGTTGCTTTGCCATTCAGGTGCGTGCTAATGGAATCCCATAATAAGATTAGATGACTATAACTTAGCTACGGACGACAGTGAGGAATAAAGGATGAACGTTTATTTTTAAAGCTTATAAATGAGTTCTTCATCAAGCTCTCGTGAACCTTCACCATCTATGAAACAAACTTTACCAAACGATTATGGAGCACCTATTGAATATTTCTTACGAGCTGCACAATGGCAAAGAGCAGTCTCACCAAGGTTAGGTGTTCCACCAGCTCCTGTCAAAAATAGCATTTGGTCAAGTCCTTATATAAAATATGGTCTCCCACTAGGTTTGCTAGCTACAGCAGGAGCAGTTATGATGTTGAAAAGAAATAAAGCAAATGTTGTAAATAATACTGAAGTAGCTGAAGTTAAACAAACTCCAACACCTTCGCCAAAACCAACGTCAAACAACCTTCAATGACTCCTGAACCTATGGAAGTACAAACTCCTGTTCAAAAGTCAACTCCTAAACCGACTCCAACATTTAAACCAGAACCTACTCCTCAAATAAATCGTAAAACTCCTGCGTTTCCTTACTGAAAAAATAACGTTATTTTTATTTAATATTAAAATTTTTATTTGATTGAAATGACAAATAAAGTCACTGAAGCAATGAAACAAAAGTTTTTGGTAGAATACATTAAATCAGGAACTATTCCAGAAGGTTTTTACATTCATACTATGAAGGATGGTAGAGTTCAGTTTAGAAAGATAAAGCAACCATTAGATAAAGAAGGAATTTGAGAAAGATTAAACTTCATGAGGACAACATTGCTGAACTTAAGAAGAAGTTAGAAGAGTTGGAGAAAGGAAGAGAGTTATAAAGCAATGAATTCAACAGGGTGAAAAACAGGTGAAAAAAGGTGAGATCTACCACTTCACCTAAATTTATTTTTGTGCTATGTTTTCATACGTGTGAGGGTGGTGATATCATTAATTTTTAAGTTTATTTATTTTTATTTTTATATAAATGACGAAAACTATTGAGATAACAAACTACAACGGTCATGAGTTCAAGAATTTGTTCTTCGTTCCTCGTGAAAATACATTCTATCAGATACGAGGGAGAAAGGGTAAAGTTAGTTTGAGCGTTTATGACAACAACATAATGGAAAGTTTATACAAGCATAGATACAAACGGTAAGCGTGTTTCATTAGCTTTGTCAAAACTTACTAACATTTATTTTGACAGTGATTTTGACTCTGACGATTGGAGTGACAGCAGCGATACTGAAGAATATGAACTATTGTGTGAAGCACAGCAATGGGAAGTTGCAATACTTTTGTAAATGAGAACATTAGTGGGAACGTTAGTGTGAACGTTTATTTTTTCATTAGTGAAGTTGTTAGCGAAGTCGTTAGTGAGGTGAAGTGGTTGGCGGCTTTGTAAAGTGTCAAATTCACAAGTATTGGGTAAGGTGGAACGCAGTGCCGCCGTACCCAAGACTTGTATACTAACTAATTAACCATGTTCCTTTTGATAAATTAAAAGGAGATATTTGACCAACTGTTGAAAAATCCTGTGAAACCAAATGATATTCTTGTTAAAATCTTTTTGTTTGAGTATTGTGGAATTTTATAATGAATTTAAAGCTTGCATTAATATATAAAGGTCCTGTTGTTAAATGAAGTGCTAGTATTTTAAAGCAGTTATTTTAAATATTGCTGTGATTCTTAATTAATTTGATAAAAAATATAATATAAAATAACCTTATATTTATATAAATTTTTCAATTGGATCCGGAAAATTGAGAAGAATACATCAAGTTGATCAGTTTTTTACAAAAGTTAACAATATCAGCTATACCGAAAATTTTATTATATGCTAAATGATTTAAAATAATAATTATATTAATATGTCTAAATAAGAAATAAAATTTTTTATTGTGGTAAACTATTTATTCTGAGAAACAATAAAATAAAGATGTTTTCTGATATTCATCTTTTGCATTGCCATATGCACCAGGAAAAAGAGAAGTTCCACATGGCCTTTGCGAAATGTTATTATAGAGGATAACATAAATCACCCTGCAGACTTTCAGACCAAAATTTGGTAAACTCATTAACTCTGTTTTATTGAAATAGTGATACCAATTTGGAAGATAATACAAGGTTTTCAAAATTACTTCCGAAATTGAAATTAACTTCCAAATCGGCATCACTGATGAAGAAACTAAAAATATTGATTAAACTAATTTCTACATATTAAGGCTGTACTTACGCCCATCTAACTTTAATTCAAAGTTTTGACAACTGGCGTGAAACAATTGAATTGATGGCCCTGTCATATTGTAAGTTCATCCTTAAAAGAAAATAAAAAATATTGATTAAAAACAATTTCTATTTTATTAAATAAACAAAATTCTATATATATTACAACATTGTCACGAAATCATAAGTTTTTGTTGCATAAAAACTTATTTTTGGATCTAAATTTGTCTTTCTCTCATTCAACATGTTCAAAATAATGGATCTGTTGAGAGCAAGTTTAGATCTTTTACAATTTGTTCCAATAACCTTTATAAGGTTGCAAGCAGCAATGAATATAGTATCAGTCATCATCCTGTTCTTAGAAATGAACTCAATGTACTTAATAATTTCCTTATGAAAGTCGGAAATCACTTTAGACATGTCAGGCTTCGAAAGGAACAATGAAGAAAATGCCGTGAGCATCGGAGCAACAGCAGATTCGATGTCTGGAGTGAATTTTCGACTTAATGCGAAAGATAACAGTTTAATCGTGGAATTTATTGTATCATCATTAGGTTCGCTGAATGCATATGTTATATCATGCAAAGCAAACATGATTCCTTTGAAAATAGTGCTACTTTCCATGTTTGTCGCCAAATTAAACAAATTATCAATAATTTCTGGGGATTCATCAACAAAACAAGGTACAGATGTGCCATAGAACTTACCAATAACACGAACACCCTCGTAAATGATGGTTTCGTTGTAAGATTGAAGGGCCATCTCCATTAAATTGTTGATTTTCTGGGAATTTTCTTCAGATGACACTGAACCTGTATCAAGGATCTTAAGAAGTGCTACTAAACCCTCTTTCCAGAACTCAAAATCGTGTAATGAAATTAATTCTGTCAAAACTTTGTCAAAAACGGGTTGTGTGTACTGGGACATTTCTTTCTTGAGCTTGTTAGCAATAGTAGATATCACGATCATGCGGCCAATTCTCATATTCAGATGAGTTTGAGGGAAATAGTCATCTACGTGAAGAATGAGGTCTAAAAGCTTAACTCTTACTTCTTCTGTCTCAGGAAGTCTCTTAATCAACCGGTAAAATGAGTCAAATGGAGCGACCAAAGTAGTTGATTCTTGATCTGGTGTTGTTCCATCAGTTAGGCATCGGATTGTCTGTATGGTAATATCAAACATCGATTCTAAGGCGCTTTCAGGTACATTTTCGCATAAAATCGTAATTATATTCGAACATCTCAGTCTCACTTGAGGTTCTGCTTCTCTCTGTGGTAATATTGCGTTGTTCATTATGAAGTAAAGGTCTTCTGGCGATTGCACTCCATATTTTTTGATGATTTTGTATATGACATATAAAGATGTTTCAACAAGTCTTCGATTCTCAGAGTTCAAGTACCTCTCTATAAGTATAGAACTTCCGTATTGGTAGATTTCGTCTCCCTCAATTCTGGGACCAGATGTGACTGAAAGAAGACAAAGAAGAACAGTATTTTGGACGATAAAGGTCGTATCGGTGTTATTTGTAATATTCTGGTTTACATAACCGAAAAGAATCGGGGACATGATTTTGAAATATTCTGGAATTTTGCAAAGTTGGCATAAAGCTGAACTTGCAAGGAAGGAAGGCTCGGAATTCTCGGGGTCTTCTATTGTTTGGTCGTTTGGATTGGCCGGCATGAGCAAATGTATAAGACATTCCGTGATTTGTTGAAGATTATAATCTAATAATATGAAATTAACCTTGCTTTTGTCTTCTTTGTACAGTAAATGCTCGAATCTTGCGATCTGTATTAAAAACATAAGGTTGGCGAACGTATTATTATGAGTTTCTGGAGAATGTTGTTCAATTGGTATCTGGCAGTTGATTGGATCGAAAATCGTATGCGCCATCTCGCGGAACACTTGCTTCATGATGTTATAATACACTTTGTAGATAGTTTTGAGGAAATAAAATGAAGAATTATATAAAGGATTTTCGATTTGGTTCGTTTGCTGTAGCTCTTGAATAGTCATGCATGTATATGAGATGATTTGCGTAATGTTCTCTGCATTAATTTCGTTCTGGGAATGAGAAATTAAAGGATTTAATAATTTCAGTGATAAAAGTTTAATATCGTTGCTTGCTGCATCCCATGTATATATTCTGAAACATTCGTTGATAAGTTGGAGTATTAAATTGAGCATATTATCGACTTTATGTTTAGAAAAGAAATCTGCATCGAATAACTCTTTAAAAAACTTAAGAGAGAAGTCTGTAGGTGGTTGCTCTTGATTCTGTAGCTCTGTAAATAGTTCTGAAACGCATTCATTGTATATTTCTGGGTCATATTCGCAAATCATTGATAAACATTTAGCTGCCATGTTACGAACGCCTTCGTTATCGGAATTTCTATTCTTGACAATTGCATTTTTGGTTAAATCTTTGTATTCGAAGCTCAGCCACTCTTTTTCGACTTTTTCTTCTGGATTTTCAATGTCATGATTTAAAAATTGTTTAATAAATGCAAGAAGTAGCAGTATGTGTTCATAACTATCTTCATTAACACTGTCTAAGCCATAGGATGAACATAATAAAAATCCAATTCTTTGATTTGTGAAGAAGCCTTCAAGCCATTGTTTGCATGCTTCAATAGTTTCTTGATTACCTTCTATATATCCTTGAACATTTTGAATGAATTCATTATAGAGTGGCTGCAAATCTTCATTCATTCAAAAATCAAAAATAAAATGTTTTCTGCAGAAAAATGTTGATTTCATTTTACATAAAAAAAAAAAAAAAAAAAAAAAAAAAAAAAAAAAAAAAAAAAAAAAGGTAGTGGGGCTTCCAGGCACTTCGTGCCTTCTAGCCCTGAGGATGAATGAGTATAATGAAGTTCTTATATACGGGTCTTCCAGGAGCTTTTCACAAAATATATATGTTTTTCATGTTTTGTCAAGATTTCATCGTAAAGACTTTGTCAAGATTTCATCGTAAAGACTTTGTCAAGATTTCATCGTAAAGACTTTGTCAAAACTTCATCGTAAAGACTTTGTCAAAACTTCATCGTAAAATCAGACAAAAATAATGTTTAGGGTAGAAGGTTAGATATAACCTCTTTTCTAACCTCTTTTCTACCCTCTTGAATTTGTCAAGATTTCTTCGTAAATGTTTTGTCAAGACTTCTTCGTAAATGTTTTGTCAAGACTTCTTCGTAAATGTTTTGTCAAGACTTCTTCGTAAAATCAGACAAAAATAATGTTTAGGGTAGAAGGTTAGATATAACCTCTTTTCTAACCTCTTTTCTACCCTCTTGAATTTTCATGAAATTTACACCAAAAATATACTACTAGGGTCATTTACGAAGAAATCTCAACAAAGTCTTTACGATGAAATCTCAACAAAACATAGACAAGAAAGTTCATGAGAAATTAGATGAAGAAGTCTTGACAAAGTCTTTACGAAGAAATTCATGAAAATTCAAGAGGGTAGAAAAGAGGTTAGAAAAGAGGTTATATCTAACCTTCTACCCTAAAATATATTTTTGGGTCATTTACACTCATTTACGAAGAAGTCACAACAAAGTCTTTACGAAGAAGTCACAATAAAACATCTGTCAAAAACCGCTTTTTAACTTCACTTAAAATGCCACGTAAGCTACGTAAGAATATACGTAAGAGGAAGAGAGCATTGAAACATCCAATAGTAAAACTGACACCACAACAACAGTTGCAACAACAAATGCTGAATGACCCCACTATGTTGCAACAAATGTCAAGCAATCCTATGCTTTTTAAACCGAGTTGTTGGTGCACAGAGTGGAGGTTTAAGAGCGGGACTTTTAGCGAAAATGGCAGGCTATGGTGGAGCTGCAGACGGAACAGCCTATAACCCTCAAAGTCAAATGAATTTGAGTTCACTCAAAAATCAAATAACAGATGTCAAAAAGTCAAACATAGACATACAGAAACAAATAAGTGAAAACGAAAAGAAACTAGAATATGACAGACACACAAAGAAACTCAATGAGTTAAACGTAGAGAAAAAGAAGAAAGAAGAACAACTGAAAGAACTAAGTACAGAGGAATATGCGAAAAAAGTGTCAGAAAAAGCAGCAGAAGTAGCAAAAATGGAACAAGATGTCATAAATTTGAAAAACCATACTACTCAATATAAATACTGAAAGATGAAGAGATAAAACAAAAAGCCCTGAAGACATATATGGATAGCGATGAGTATAAAAAGAAGTTGAAGCAAATGTAAAGGCAGAAAAACTTTTACAGTTGCAAAACCAAACCGTACAGTATGAAAACTTAGCACAAGAAAGTAAAAATAACGACGCAGCCATGCAAAAGGCAATGAAAAGTGCAGAAATATATAAAAGCTAACAATGACTGGTTAGATGCCAAGCCAACGCTAAAGCAGCCCAACTCATAGGGTCAATAAGGACAAAAATACAAGCGGATGAAGACAGTTCAAATGAAGCTTTAACAAATGCTGACTTTAAGAACGCTTTCGAAGCTCTTCATAGTAAGGTGAAACAAGTGAACGACTTCTCATCTGGAAAGAAACTGAAGTCTGAAGGTTTCGACAAAGAGTTAAAAGAAGTAGCACAAAATATGACGAAAATAACAGATGCAGCAACGAGACAGGCAGTTCAAAGTGCCTATGACGCCGTTAGAGCAACTGTTGTGAAAAGTCAAGAAAAAGAGTTACAACAGACCAAAACAGACCTAGTAAATGCTTTCTTAAAAACGAAAAGTCAGGTAGGACATTACGCTGCAGATGGAACATATGTGCCAGCTGGTGGAACTTATATACCACCAAACCCTCCAAGAGAAGCACCTGCACCAGGACTACCTAGAACATTTACATCGTCACATGGACACAGACACAGGCATGCACAACAACCAGCACAACAACCACCTCCACAACCAGCACAACAACCAACACAACAACCAACAGTTCAAAACACTGCACCACAACCAGCACAACAACAACCACAAACAGAGCAAGGACATAAAAGAAGTAGAGAACAAGGAAACCAAGAATTCTTAAAAATGCTTAAAGAAGACTATGGTTACCCAGATAGTATTGACTTTAGTGACAGATATAAAGAAGCTATTAGAAAGTTCAAGGATGGAAATACTGACCCGAACTATTTAGCTTTATGGCTCTGCACCAAAGGGGATAAATTTCAAACCTGGAAAATACAAGCTCGCTAAGGGATATGATTTAATAGCATATCATCCAAATGACATGAACGAATTTACTCCGAGATATTTGATGTCAGAGCTAAATGACAATTTAACTCTCTTCATGAAACGCGTAAAAAATAGAGACGGAACGAAAGAAGAAAGGTTTATGAGTCCGGATGACTTAGAAAGGGAACTTGTTGAAAACGGTCTCGGAATATATGAAATGCCAGCAGATGAGGTACAAGAAACTCCACAGGAAGAAACTAGTTCAGATACAACCAGACATGGAAGAAATAGTTCAGCAACAAAAGCTAGAAGAGCCTGAAGGAAACGAACAAGTCCTTCCTTTGGAAACTAACTTCACAGAACTAGATGAAGATTTGGAACAGCCGAAAAATCTTGACCCTCAACAAGAGTATGCGGAGAATATGGAATATTTCAAGAGTCTAAAAAAAATTCGGCTGACATAGTAGAAGAATATCGAAAAATGTTTGCCGACATACAAAAGACTCCAACATCAGATGAAAATATCCAGCATAGAATGGAAGAACTGAAAAAAAATGTACACAAATACAACAACCCTTTTTACTTACGAGCATTTAACGTTCAATCTTCGGATGAACTCGGTGAAGATAAAAGGTTAAATTTCAAGAAAACATATAGAAATGAAACATTGTTTAAAGTTCATTCAGAACCTAACCAAGATGGAAACAAACCTACTTTTGTTTCTGCAGACGATGGAACTACAATGAGATGGGGTCATAAAGCTAACCCGGATAGGTGGTTCATAAACTTACAACCTCAATTCCAAGAAGTTGTAGACGCAATGGAAGTCAATGGTGAACCAGATATAGCTGGTATTTTCAGCGCGGCTTTAATGCCATTGAAAGATATGAAAGATGCAGATATTTTGGACCAGTATGAAATGAACATGGCTGATGGAAATATAACACCTGACGTTCTAGAACATTTATCTCAAAGAACTACACAGAACCATAGAGATGGTATATTTGGTGAAGAGTTTAGAAAGAAAGTTAGGGAGATAGAAGGAAGAGAACCTATTGTACATGACCTTGCAAACGAAAGTTTACAAAATGTCATAAAAACTTACTTTGCAGACAATGAACCGAGAAGGGATGAATATTTAAGAAAACTCAAATGGACAGTACCAAATGAAATGTTAGTATTGAAAAACATGTTCCTTGACAAAATAAAACCAACTACAGAAATAAACGACGCAAGACTGAAAGATTGGGTAGAAGCCTTCCCATTCACAAAAGATATAGTTGGTAACATGGAAAGAAAACCAGAATGGCTACAAAAACATATATTTGGAAACGAGCATATTCCATATGGACAGGCACTGTTTGAAGAGCTTGAACCGGAAACTCAGGAAAGAGTCATGCAAACAATACGCGAAGACTCAAATACAGACTATGACAAACTCTTTCTAGGATATAGGTTACCTGAGATGGGCGACCAGAGCCAAAAGGCAAAAAGGACATGGGAAATTTGCAACATACTAGATGAACATAATGCAAAGATGCAACAACTTCAAGCAGAGGGCAATGAAGGAAAAAAGAAGAGTTAAAAACTCAGTCAGGAAGAAAGTAAAGCTTGGTCGGAGTGGGTTCTATTATGACATATAAATCCAACTATTCATATTTTTACTCATATGAAATGTACGCCGCTCAGAATATAACGCCAACAGTTTTGGATGCCATGAATGGAAATGTTTCCGAATGGTATAACGAATGCGACAATGCCATTAGAAGGTCAGAAATAGTTCCTGGAACTTACGAATATACAACTGCTGTTTCTTATGGAAATGTAGGTGAGTTTGGAGAAGGTTCTTCAACAACAGTAGATATTGCTTGCGACAGGTTTCATATTATTTCTATTGACAACTCTTTCTTATACGTGGAACAAGACATTGAAATAAAACCTTCTGCCAAGTTGTCTGACAAGAAAGGTTGCAATGGAATTTTCTATGTCGGATACCAATATGCTCCAGAAGTTTTCATGGGATATAAGATATATTCTAACTCTGACTTAGTTCAAACAGTAACATGGGCAAACTATGAATGGTTCGCTTGAGAAACTCAGTACAACCACAAGCTAGAGAACAAACAGACCAGTATGCAACTATTGAGAAAATAAGAAGACTTGACCCTAACGTTCCAGGAGTTTATGTTGACCTTTCTGGACAAACTGCAGCAGCAGTAACCAAAGTAAAACTGAAACTTAGAGTTCCTTTGTCATCTTTCCTCATCTTCAGGTTTTTAAGATACTTGCCAAACTGGGCAGGAAAATTTCTATTGAACTTACTCCAAGCAAAAATAACTTAGTCATTGCACAACACAAGACCCATTCACTCTTACAGACGTAAAGGGAGCAAATCAAACGTCATTCGCCGAATTTTGCAAAGACAAAGTTGAACTTAGACTTTGGTTTCTCAAACCTCAACACTGAAGTAAACTACTACTTCAATGCTGCTGGAACTGCTTGGGACCCAGTTAAGTTCACATGCGAAA